ACAAACCACTGCTGCTCAGCCTGTTGGAATTCTGAACAGCACTTGACCTTTCTTTAAACTAACGAGAGCTTATTAGACAGAGGAGAATTCTTTTCTTCAGAAAAGAGAAAATATTTATATTCCTTAAAACAGGCAATGAATTAAAGATGTGCATTTAAAATTTAGAGCTTCGGTTGCACTGTTTGTGTACACCTGACACTTCACCCAGTGAGGGACTGACATTGCAAAGATGGGTTTGGTGTTAAAAACAGAGTAACTGCTCAGGTTTTATCCTCAAAATTCTTCAATTCACCCCATTTTAATAACTCTGAACATAGGGAGTTAAAAATGCTGGTTTTGAAATGCTTGAGACAGTGTGCTTTATTGCTCAGTACTGTCAGGACTGTGCTCAAGATCCAGGGTTATTCAGTATCTTGTCTCTTATACATGTTTGGAGTGGCCAACATGTGATGCATTTACAGATAGAAGGTGAATTTTGTGCACTCACGATTTAATGACTTCATTAGCATATGAGATTGATTTACCACTGTGTTACGAGAGTGACCTTTCACCAGCAGATCTTTTGTAGCTATATTTAGAACATGGCAATTATACATTTACATGTTCTTAAGTTTGTTTCCTTGTCTGGCCCTTTACTCATCTGCTTAGAATATTTATATTTTTTTCCTTGTCTTTGGTCCCTGATTGCTTTGGCTCTGTGGGCAAAGGCTTCCTGGACAGGGCAGAACTGTTCCTGATTGCCCGTGTACTGATGGAAATATAAAACACTGTGGAACTTCTTCCTGAGGCCCTGAGATATTTCAAATAAAAACAATCAGCTGATGGGTTTTTTGCAGAGGGTTGGCTCCTGTACTTTGGATCTGTAAAATGAGAACTATTCCATTGATAGCCAGCGCTCCTTCCTGTGAGATGCTGGGAACACCAGAGGCCGTTCTATTCATGTTTCCTTGAAGTTAATTTTAAGCTTTCTGCTTAAAAACATGCCTTGCTTTTCCAGGAACTGACGAGTCCCCAGAACCACTGCCAATCCCAACATTTTTGTTGGGATACGATTACGATTTCCTGGTGCTGTCTCCGTTTGCGCTGCCCTACTGGGAGCGGCTGATGCTGGAGCCGTACGGCTCGCAGCGAGACGTCGCCTACGTCGTGGTGTGCCCGGAGAACGAGGCTCTGCTCAACGGGGCCAAGAGCTTCTTTAGGGATCTCACTGCAATATACGAGGTACAGGATTTGTGGCAGTTTGCACTGAAATGGATTTGGGAAAGGCTGTTTCTAATACGTGCTCATAAGGACTTATCAGGCTTGTCGGGGCTGATAGCGACGCCTGCTCAGAATGCTATCTGGGAAAGCTGCTCCGAGGGATTTTAGGAATGGGCACTTGGAAGATAAGGGCTGTTGGTGCTGCTCCTTGTTCCCATCCGATAAACGCCACCTGGTGGCAAACCTTTGCATTGCCATAGCGTTACCTCCATTTAATTAATTAATTACATGCTTGGATTGAATGAAGATTAGAGTCGATTATTATCAACCTGGTTTTCTTGCATTTAGGAAAACGCTGACAGTAACCCATAAAATTACCATTCAACATTTGCTACTGGTGGGATTTTAGAGTTAAAATGTTACTTTGGAATATTGTAAATAAGCTGAGAGTTCTCTGCCTTTGTATGATAGTTAATTTGTGTGATATTTAGCAGCTTTTAAGGGTTTTTTTTACCTTTGCAGTCCTGCAGGCTTGGTCAGCACAGACCCATCTGTAAGTTACTGCCTGATGGGATCATGAGGGTTGGCCCTACAGCCTCCAAGAAGCTGTCAGAGAAGTTGGTCACAGAGTGGTTCTCCCAGACAGCCAATGCCAACAGCGATGCGTTCTCCAAACTCAAACTCTACGCTCAAGTGTGCAGATACGAGCTGGGTATGTATGACCTTTTTCATGTTCCTTATTTCATACAATTGCCACTTACTCCTTTGCCATAGAGAAGAAGAAATCATGGCTTATTGTCTTATTGATTAGGGCAGTTTTCTGGTTTTAAACTATATTTGAATATGTGCAAAAATGGTCTCTTACCATCCAGCAGTGCCTTTAGGGAATGGCTTGACAGGACTTTGGTTGTCTTCTTGTATTGGTGACCTGGATTCTGTACAGTGATTTCCAGCAATTCAACACATCTGGAAAAAAGTTATATTAAAAAGAGATTTCTTGATCTTTCTGGAAGGCTCTTATGAAAATATTAGAATTTGAAAATTTAATAGAGGTTTTTTGAGAGGTAAAATGTATGCTTAAAGTTTGCTCTATTTTGTTACAACTGTAGACTTCCATAGGTGACATAACCATCAAACCAGCTGCATTATAAAATTTATGCTTTTTTCCCCCTGGTTTTAGGTCCTTATCTTGCTTCTCAGCCTTTGGACAATTCTCTACTTTCCCAAACCAACCTGGTCCCTCCCTGCAGCCAGGCAGGCTCTGCTGTGCCCCCAGTGGCAGCCCCTGCTGCCAATGCCAACACTCCATCAGCAGCTCCCGCAGCTCCCAGCAGCAGCACCGTGCCTGTGACCTCCAGCAGTGCCATGGCCTCTGCAGCCACCACAGCCAACTCCACCCTCACCACCACGGCCCCCTCCTCCTCCTCCTCCTCTGCCAGCCTGGCCAGTGGCATTCCAACGAGCAAGCCTTCCTCATTCCCGCCCTTCAGCAATATGAACAGCACCACTCCTGCCTCCCTGCCCGCCCAGGCTGTGCCCGTCCCAAACGGGCAAACTGGGGGGCAGCAGCAACAGCCAACACTGCAACCAGCAGGGATGTCTGGAGACACGGCTGCAGCACCTGCACAGCCCCACCCAGAGGTTTCTGAAAGGTAGGGAACTGCAGTCACACCTTCAGCTGAAAAAGCAGCTCAGCTAACGGGATCTTTCACCCCTTCAATAAAACCCTGTATTTATTTTCACCAAGCTGCTTTTAAGGGAGATTGGAGAGTTCAGTTGTGGTGGAGCTGAACCTTTTGGTTCCAGTTGTAGCTGCAGTTCTAATTACATCTCAGTGTCTGCTCTGGAGCAAAAATAAACTTCCTTTTTTTCTTCTCTCTCTAAAGACAGGAAATTCACCAAACTACTCACTTCAATATTTTAAAGGGCTGTGGAAGGAGGGGGAGATAGATAATTGGCACCATCTTAGAGTTCTATTTTCTGTAATCAAAGTTAGAGTGGTGAAGACAGCTCTTACTGCAGATATCCTTGTTCCCCAGTTAAGCAATAGTTGAGCTGTTGAGCTGCTGTAATAAAGGAGGCTAAAGGAAAGAAAAGGGATTCAGAGTTACTGATAAGCTCCTATACTAAAATGACATAAAAAGACTGTTTCTTACACTACAGTTGACTCTTTCAGATTAATAATTGACAGTTTGATTTAGCTTTGAAGTAAAACCTAATCTTTACAAAACTCAGCTGTTTGTAACTGGTTTCAAAATTTCATTCCCAGCACTATGGATCGTGATAAAGTCGGAGTCCCCACAGATGGAGATTCACATGCTATCACCTATCCACCTGCAATTGTAGTTTACATAATTGATCCTTTCACATATGAAAAAAAGGATGAGAACAGCAGCTCATCCAGTTTGTGGACACTTGGACTTCTGCGCTGCTTCCTGGAGATGGTTCAGGTTCTTCCTCCCCACATCAAGAACATCATTTCTGTGCAGGTGAGCCAACAGAAACCAACAGGGCATCCCTGGCTTTGGGGGCAGTAACCCCTCATGGTGAAAGTTTCATTTCCTTCACAAACATGACTGACAGTTCTCCAGCTGTTAAACCATCAGGTTACAGCTTTTAGAGCAGTTTGGGTGCTGTTAACCAAAGCTGAATTCCAAACTCATCAGTTTTAGCTCAGAGGAAATGTAGTGAGTAATGAGTGGGGTATGGGAAAGCTGCTGCTCCTGCACTGGGATCTGCAGCCTGGCCCTGCTGGGCTGCAGGCAGAGCTCCTCCAGCTGCAGGACCCGTTAACACAGGGCAGCTTTTTGGATGAATCATTAAGATTCTCTTCTGAACCAATTATTTTTTCCTCTGAAGAAAATTCCAATGGGAATAATTTCTTGAAGTCCCACAGGGCTTTGGAGGAATTGGAAGAAATTTGACTACAAAGTAAAATTCAAAAAGCACTGTACCGAATACTGTGTCAGAAGCCATTTAATCTGTTGATAAAACAATGATTTATTTTTTCTGCTCTCCTGTGTTCCAGATTGTCCCATGTCAGTACCTGCTGCAGCCTGTGAAGCACGAGGACCGGCAGATTTACACTCAGCATTTAAAATCTTTGGCATTTTCAGCTTTCACTCAGTGCCGGAGACCTCTCCCAACGTCCACCAACGTGAAAACCTTAACTGGCTTTGGGCCAGGGTTAGCCATGGAAACTGCTCTGAGGAGCCCTGATGTGAGTATTGTTCATGAGATGGTGGGATTATCCAGATCAGAGGAAGGTCCCTGCTTATCAACCAGCCATCTTTTATGTTGGGAATAATTTCTTACCCAAACTTCATTGTCTGTCATCATCTTTCTAGAGACCTGAGTGTATTCGACTCTACACCCCTCCTTTTATACTGGCTCCAGTGAAGGACAAGCAAACAGAGCTGGGAGAAACCTTTGGAGAAGCTGGCCAGAAGTACAATGTGCTTTTTGTGGGCTACTGTTTGTCTCATGATCAGAGGTGGCTGCTTGCATCCTGTACAGACCTCTATGGAGAGCAATTAGAAACTTGCATAATTAATATTGATGTACCAAACAGGTAAGGACCAAACTTCCATTCATTTTTAGCAAGTGTATTTTCTTTCATTCCCCTGAAGAATGACATTGGTTTTGGTGCTGTGAGAATAACTCACTTTTGTAGACTTGCTGTGCTGCAAAAATGGCTACAGCAGATGAATATTTTCTCTATTATGTGCACATCATTTTGAGTTAAATTTCTAGAAGAGCAGAGTTTAGTTTCATGTGATTCTTGAGTGTTACTGTGTGTGTGTGTTCCTGCTTCCCCATCTCACTTACTGGCTGTTAATGTCAGTTTTAGAATGTGATTAATTTAACAATCCCAAACCCCCTGAAGCTGTAGCTGATGGGCTGCAACACCAACACTCTTGGCTCTGGTGAATGTTCAGGTTAATTCAAAAATGTTCTAAACATGGCATTAGAGACTTGTTGCAGTTTTAACTTTGTTTTCCCTTCTTTCTTTCTTCTAGAGCTCGTAGGAAAAAGGGTTCTGCCCGCAGACTTGGTCTCCAGAAACTCTGGGAATGGTGCCTGGGACTGGTGCAGATGAGCTCTCTGCCATGGAGAGTTGTCATAGGCCGCTTGGGACGAATAGGACATGGGGAATTAAAAGGTAACAGCAGCACTTTTTTTAGAGTCTAAAGCTCGATTTAAAGCTTTAATATTTCAGTAGTATCAAATGTGTCCATCCCTGTTGCTGGAATAGAGCCTCACCATGAGATTTCCTCCCGCAGACTGGAGCTGTTTGCTGAGCCGCCGGAACCTGCAGTCCCTGAGCAAGCGGCTGAAGGACATGTGCAGGATGTGTGGGATCTCTGCTGCAGACTCCCCCAGCATTCTCAGTGCTTGCCTGGTGGCCATGGAACCCCAGGGATCCTTCATTATTATGCCAGGTATTTGGGAAACTCTCTGTTTTTTTGGCACAAGAACCAGCAGCTCAGGCTTTGTTAAACTGAGGGGATGTTCGGTTTCTCCCGCACAGATTCCGTGTCCACGGGCTCGGTGTTCGGGCGCAGCACCACTCTGAACATGCAAACATCCCAGCTGAACACGCCCCAGGACACCTCCTGCACCCACATCCTGGTGTTCCCCACCTCTGCCTCTGTGCAGGTGGCATCATCCACGTACACCACGGAGAACCTGGATCTGGCCTTTAACACAAACAATGGTTTGTACTTTGGATTTGTTCTCGCCTTCTAAAGACCCCTCATCACTGTCCCTATCGTGAGAATAAACTGTTCATTCTAAGGAACTGTAGCTATGATATTTTCTGGAAAAGCCTTTCCTTAGGATTTTTCCTCCTGAGAAGCTGAGAGGCCTCAGGAACAAAATGTAAACATTGATTATCTGCTGCTGTGGAATGCAACAGGTGCATCTGGGATTGGCTCATGTGGTTGTTTGTAATTAATGGCCAATCACAGTCAGCTGGCTCTGACTCTGTCTGAGACAGAGCCTTTGTTATTCATTCCTTTTTTTTCTATTCTTAGCTGGCCTTCTGATGAAATCATTTCTTCTATTCTTGTAGTATAGTTTTAATATAAGATATATCATAAAATAAGAAATCAGCCTTCTGATACATGGAATCAGATCCTCATCTCTTCCCTCATCCTCAGACCCCTGTGAGCACTGTCACAAGGAACCATTTCCATTTCTATGGAAAATCCCTTTGTTTCTGAATGTATTGTCATATCCTGCACATGGTGAAATTGTAGGAATTCACTGGTCTTGTTTTTTTTTTCCCAAGATGGAGCAGATGGAATGGGAATCTTTGACTTGTTAGACACTGGAGATGATCTTGATCCTGATATTATAAATATTCTTCCTGCATCTCCTGGTGGATCCCCTGTGCATTCTCCAGGGTCCCACTACCCCCATGGAGGTGATATGGGCAAGGTAACTATTGGAGTAAATACAGTTTTGTGTGTGTGTTCTGTCTGGTTTTTCTCCACCTGTAATTTCCTTTTGTGGAATGAAAGCTTTTAGATCACCTGGATATTGGATTGTCATGTCATGCCTGGATATTTCTAAATGCTCTGTGTTTCAGAAGCTACAGAAGATTTCTATTAAATTTGTTCTCTCCTGATGTGAACCCTTTGCCTGTTGTGTTGCAGGGTCAAGGCACAGATCGATTGCTTTCCACAGAATCTCACGATGAAGTAACAAATATACTGCAGCAGCCACTGGCCCTCGGTTATTTTGTGTCAACTGCCAAAGCAGGTCCATTGCCTGACTGGTTTTGGTCAGCGTGTCCTCAAGCACAAAATCAGTGTCCCTTGTTTCTTAAGGTACTGTCCTGGCAGAGACTTGAGCAGCCTGAGGGTCTGGGGGTGAGAACTGTTCTGGTTAAACCAAAGTCAGTGCATGTCTCTGGGGACAGCTCTGCTCTTGCTTCAGGAGAAGCCAGGGGGATTCAGGTTTTGAGATCTGGCTGTTGGGAAGGCTCTGCCTTGCTCATGGTTTCTTCCTGGTTGTCTGGACTCTTTTTTTCCCTGGCTTTATGCTCCAGGGTTTTGTAAGAACAGGTTGAGTTCCTGGACAGAGCTGGGCTCCTGTGGGCACTGGTGGTAGAGAGGGAGGTACATAAGTGCAGTGCAATAACTCAGTTGCCCTGGGTAAAATAAGGAATAAATGAATCTTTCTGGATTGCACAAAGCATAAAAGCTGTTTTTTCCATGTTGGCTTTGCACTGTATATCTGTCTGGGTGTTGTCTGAGCCCCTTATCTCCTTATGGCACAATCAAGACACACTTGGCACATTTAAGGCTGCACATTGGTATAGAGAGAAACTTTCTGTATTACAAATCAGCACCTCTAATACTGTGCTTTGTTTCCTAATGATCCAGATAGATCTTCTTCAGCCTTGTTTGTGTCTGGATTAGCAGCTCCTCTTGGCCTAAGCTCAGCTGTGGCTTTGGTATAGGATATTATTTTGAAGAGAGGATTTATTATTTACACTAAGCAGCTCTAGATATGAAATATAAATAGACCAGGCCTATAGAAAGCAGCTGAACTTCCAAGTCTGTGTTATTAGACATCTTGGGCCACTTGAGTTGAGTTTTTAATAATCACTTGATGTAGAAAAGGGATTAAAAAAACCCCATATATATATTTCACTGCTAGCACTGTGCTTTTAGCAGAGATCTGTGTGAGAGAATAGAAATATTCTAGAATTCCTGAACTTGTGGATGGCCTGAGGATAAGATTTGTTTTGGCTTGTGTGTCAGCCAGAGAAGGTGCCTGCAAGCTCCAACAACATGGGGGAAGGAAATGTGGTGTAGCTGAGCAGGCAGTAACTTCTGCCTTCCTTCTTCCTTCCTCAGGCCTCTTTGCACCTCCACGTGCCTTCAGTGCAATCAGACGAGCTACTCCACAGTAAACACTCCCATCCACTTGATTCTAATCAAACTTCTGATGTGCTCAGGTATTTATCACTCATCACTTGCAAAAATATTGTGCATTTCGTTTTTAATGCTGCTGCAGTGAAGCTGCATGTTTGTTTTTCCTGCTGGTTTTTTTTCTTTGTGCAGCTGATATCCCTAGTGCAGACAAACTGCTGTGCTTTAAGTGACTGTCACAGAACAGTGGAATAAAAACCAAACATCTCTAAGCCCTTCTTTAAATAACCAGTCTTTGAAAATGTTTGAAAAACAACGAATTCCTCAAACTAAAGGAGAGTTTGAGTCTAACAGAAAAGACAGAAATAGTTAAACCAGAATATTGCACAGCAGTCTTGTGGAAAATCTGAAGCCCAGACCCATGTAAACATGGGATGCTAATTGAGAAAACAGCAGATTACTTTTCCTTTTCTGGTTTTTTTTATGTGAACCTCTTGGTACAAATCAAGAATAGACAGTTTTCCTCCAAAAGCAAGTTTAGCTCTGAACTGCTGTAATCATTTGGAAGACATATAATTTCTGAGTGTTGGCAAACCTATTTAATGTTTTTGATGCCAAAGAAGGTGGATTCTAGTAAGTGAGGGCTGTAAAATGCTGGTGAGAAGATGTGCTGGCCTGACAGAAGGCTGTTTGTTTTTCAGGTTTGTTCTGGAACAGTACAATGCACTCTCCTGGCTAACCTGTGATCCTGCAACCCAGGACAGACGGTCATGTCTCCCAATTCATTTTGTGGTGCTGAATCAGTTGTATAACTTTATCATGAATATGCTGTGATCTTCATCTGAATTTTGCAAGACAAAAATGAGGAAAAGGGATATTTCACTGCAGGACTAAGTTATAATTCTTCTCAGTGCAAGATGTTTGTGATGGGGTATGAATCTTGTTACTTCCAGCAAATATTGTTCTGACTTGTGAGAGGGGCACCCATCTTGCTGTCCTTGAGTCACTGACTATGGGGGACGCTTCAGAATGATGATCAGAAAGTGTATTATAACGTTTTTAGTAGCAAAATTAACCATTTTCCCCAGCCACAGTATTTGTGAAGAGTAATGAGCCATAGTACCCAGTCATGGTTAATGAATTTTAAAAGCATGGAGATGAGAAGAAACACGAGGAACAATTAAGTTTCAACCTATGGCTTCAGAACATCAAGATGTTCTTGTATTGGATTATAGTACTTAGTATTCAAAAATGCCTGCATCTCTTATTTATTGTAAGTTTTTAAATGTATAAATTGTCTTATATTTCTTAACCTCTTTTATAAAAATTTTCCTAGAAGGTTTATACTGCCTTCTTGCTTTAAAGCAATTGGTCTAAAATATATGTAATCGTCTTAATTAAAAGTTGCAGTAGGTTGCTTTTAGAGTATTATTTTTTTGTAAGGGGTGGGTGGGGACAGTAAATTTGTATTGTCTTGATGTACAGTTTAATGGGGATAGAGGGGTTAATGTCCATACCATTGTGTGTGGGGGATTTACAGCTAAGCTGTAGTTGCAGAGTACATGTACAGTAATGAAGTTCACTGTGTTTATATAAATTGAAAAGGTACCGGGTCTTACAGCATTTTATATCACACCTTTCCAGAGTAACAATGGCAATATATAAGTGATATTGTAGGTGGTTTAACTTGTAGTGAGAATAACATGAATAAACTCTTCAATTCAAGTTTGTGTTATGGTTCAGGGCTGTGGCTAGATTCTCAGATCCACTTCCAGGACACGAGTTTTAATATCACAAGAACATCTCTTGTGCATTGTTGCTCCCTGGATATTCTTGGCACTGTGCTCACTGCATTGTTTGCTTCCACTTTTGTGATGAAATGCCAGTCTGAGGCAGAACACACAGAAAACTCTGACCTTATCCAAAGTCTCCTGCCAGGCTGAGATTTAGCCCAGCTCTAGCCATTTTACAAATGCAAAAATAGTCAATCTTGACTTTAAGATTGGTGTGTGTTTAACTAAAATGTGGTGTATATAGATTCTCAGTGAATTCTGGTATTCAGATTTTATTCCACTAGTAAAAAAAAAAAAACAGCACGAAACCCTGAACATTTTCCTTTTCCATGTATTTTTGGCACTGTGGTGAAGGTCCCAAGTATCAGTGCATGGCCTTCCCCATATCCCATTTTCAGGCTCTGGCTGGGGCATGTGCCAAGGAGGCTTTGCCCTCCCCAAGGAAGGGACTGACAAACCACAAGGCTTTCCCAAACGTCCCCCTCTATCTACAGTCACCATTTTTTCTCAGTAGTTTCCTTCCTTTTTTCCTAGCACATGCCAAATGTCTGTGGCTGCTCTAAAATAGCCCCTACGGGTGCTGAAGAGCAGCTGCAGATGCTTTTTGTGGGTTCCTTATCTGACTGCCAGATGAAAAACTGAACTCCTGCAGCGCTCCCAGGAGCCTGTCCCAATAACCCAAGTCCTGGGTCTCAATATTGTCTGTCTCGCTGGTTTAAACCTGTAAAGGAGCAACTTTTAAGATCCATTTGTGCACCTGCTGTTAACCCCTCTACAAGGAAGAATTTGCTTGCATTTACCAAACTTACTGTGCTCATGAAAATCTGGTTTTGTAAATGCAAAAGACCTGCCTGAGGTGATTTTTTTTTTTTCGTATGAACAGTCTCACTGAATCGTGTACATACAATATTAGCAACTTTTTTGGTTTTGTATAAAGAAGTTGTACAATTGGTGATGAGAATTTTCAGTCATTTCTTCAGAACAACATGAGTGCAATCAGAAGTTAGCATATTTTGATAAATAGAGTAAAAAACTGGGTCTGTCCATGACTTTATCTCGGTAATGCACCGCAGATTAAATGGCACATTATTGTCTTACAGAAGGGTTTTCTCATTTGGTTGGCATTTTAGATGTGGAAAAGTGCTCCTAAAACTGGAATTTTCAAAGTGTATGTCCTTTTTCTTTTGAGCTTTGTCGCTAAGTGGTCATTTCTAACCCTGGCTCAGTTAACCAAGCTCCAAGGGCTGGGTTTTGGTGTGGCTTTGTTTTGTGTTCAATCTGAACTTGTATTCCTAAAGGTAAGTGAATCAGCTGCCTGAACGTTGGTGTAACTGTATTCTGTTACCTGGACCAGCCTTCCCTGTGAAACTCCTCCTGTGAAAGCTGCCAGTCTCCCACTCCTCCCCCCCATCAAATGCAATTAAAGTAAATTATAATATTATAACCACTGTAAAAGACTAGAAGGGCCATTTCTGGAGTGATAGTCACAGCCGGCAATGTACATATCAAACCTGCCAGCACCACGGAGCCAACTATTCTATTGGGCATACTTTTTTTGTTAGCTACTTTAATTTCACTATTTTAAGTGCACATAATAGCTGGTTTATAAATAAAATTGTCAGAATCCAAGAAGTTGAGGTTGTTTAGCAAGTACAAGCTTAAGTAGTTGAAAATTTCAGCTACCGATTTTCAAAATGGCCTTGCAAGAAAATGTTGTTCCTGTCAGTGCTTTAAGTAGCTGTGGAGGTTTATCTCTTTCAAGGAAAGAAGAAGCTGAGATCCTTCCATTCCAATTAAAAATCCATATTTTAACCCAGATATTACTGCATTTAAGCCTTTTAGTCACATTTGACTCACTACTATTTGGATTTGGTTTCTGAAAACCCTGTTGCTAAGACCAGCAAGGCCACTAGCTGTACTTGTAACAACCCTCACATTTTAAAAGGAGCTGTAACATTTAGATCTTTCTAACATTCTCTGAAATAATTAAAGATAAATGGATTTATATTTAAATCCTCAGCTATGTTCTTACTTAGCTGTCAGTTATGGCGCAGATTATTGTATTTCTATATTTACCTCTGATGGTAATTTTAACTTTGTGTGTTGCTATGAAGACTTGCCGATGTCTTTAATCAAGCACTATTTGTTAATACTGTAATATCAAAATATTATGTTGCATTATTTTAAAGCTTTCAAGAATAAGAGTAAAACATTTTAAAAAAATGCTATTGCACCATATAATTTGCTGCACAACAGTACGGCACCGCATATCAGTCTGTTGGGATAGTAATGCTGCATCAACCTTGTTTTCATCTGGGTTTCATTGGAGAATTCATTCATGGGTGACATTGTACAACGTTACTGTCTTGCAACCTCCAGCTGGGAAGGTGATTTTGTTTGTTTTATTTTTTTTTAATTTTTTTTTTTTAAGTAAAGGGCCCAGGACTATGCTTCATACTTAAAGGGGTTTTTTACTATTATTTGTGGGTGTACTTTTTATTTTCAGTGGAGTAAAGCTTAATTTACAGTAAAACTGGATTTGGGACCTACCACAATCCTCAGGGTCACTTTTTCAGGATGTTACTCATCGAGCTTTAGGTTTTTCCGAGTCAACTGGACGTGAGGACCTTGCCGAGCGCTGCCTTGGGCTTGTGATGGACATGGCGCCCCTCAGCACGGCCGGACACAGCGGGA